AAACTGTCATTTAACTAAAATTACGAATTTTGATATTAATATGATTTTTTTAAAAGGCAAGCGAAGCTCAAGTGTTCCTTCACTGGTTAGTTTACCCTACTACCTGTTATTGGATTTGTTACATTGCATGACGGCAATTTTATTTTATTTTTCGATAAATATAAATGTCGAATTTACAACTAATCCTGTCTTTTTTCTCTCTCTTTTTTACAGAAAGTCACAAATGGCGTAAGAAAGATATTTTTTATTTCACTAGTATTTAGTCGAGCATCTACTATGAATAAGGCGGCTCAGCCCAAAACCAACACAGACACATTTTTTAAGGGACCGTTCACACTGAATGCAAATGAGAAATTTATCAGTGAAAAACATTTACCCACAAAAAAATCTCCCATCAGGTCTTCTTTCTCATAAGCGATTTTTGTCACATTCCGTCAGAATGGCCCAAAATCTTTTTCAAATATAGTTTTCATACATACTCCCTTACTACTTTCAAATATACAATATACAAAACAAAATACAAAAAGCCATATATTCGTAATTCAACAATCTCATTAGTATATTTTATTTTATTTCGCCTTTCTCTTTTCAAGTAAGCATTATAATATTTGAAGTTCTGTCTTTATCTGTCATATTAAACTTTGGATTTGGCGGAGTCAAACTTCAAAAATGAGCCTAATTAGTTATATAATGAAACAGCAAGCAAGAAGTGAGAAGCAAATTCTAATATTTTTGCATTAGGATGCGCAGAGATGATGTGCGCATGTTAATGCAAACGCATAGGAATTATTCTATTCACCCGAATGCCTATCGCTTCTCGCTAGCACTGTCAGTGTGGGACTCACCTTATAGGATGCATTATTTGAAACTGAGGAAACCATAATCTAAAAAGCAGCACTCGACAATGGACTGATCATAAAACGCGGTTAACAATAGATCCTCAAAATCAAGCATTATTGACCAGTGAGCAGGTGGGTGACCACTTTGATCTGAATGTGAAGGGATCGAGGGTGCACGGTATCGGTCCTCGTTTAACTGTTCTACCTTAAAATGCTCGAAGTCTAGCGTGGGTTGCCGTGCTAATAAAAGGGGGGAACGATTCCCTCCACAGAGAATTATGGGAGTGTCTCCGTAGCATCCTCAGGGATGTTTCCAGAACCAGGTGACGTAGTCTGCTTATTCTAGCCCGACCACTTTGAACTTTCAGATAACCTGGCATGACGAATAAAAAATAATTAACTATTGCAGAACACGCAATAAACAACGTATTTGATTAGAGCTATAAGCTAACAAACACCACTGCTGTTATATTTGACCATGGCTTATTTTGAATCAATGGCTCCCGCTAAGCCAATGAGAAAATTCCATTTCTGAAATGTTTCTAAATTTAAAAATGTGATTAAAAATCGAAAATCGGCCTTCTTAAAAAGTTTTCAATTGTACTCATTCAGCATGAGGTTGAATTTCGTATTCTTAGAGTCTACCGTTTAACCGCAATCCGGTATACACACACATTTTTTATATTATTATATGTAAAGATATGGCTTTTTTTAATGGCAGAATTGAGTTTATTTATATACTTATATTATCTAATTAATAATAATTGAAAATTTAGCGTTTTTAATTTTTTTCTTCCGCAGCTTAAGACTTTAGTTAGGGTAAGTGAGTTTTTTTCCCTTCTGATCTATAAATCTTGCTAGCAAAAACTTTCTCTCTCTCTATATATATATGGGTCATACTCACGAAAACTGTCATTTTTCAGTTCATGAAATCCCCAAAAAGTAAAGTGAATAAAAAGCTCTGAAACTTTTTATATTAATAGAAATATGTAATGGCATTATAAAGAAAGTATATATCCTATAAATTATACTTAATATTTAAATTAATTAATTTTTTAAATAATTAATTTATAATTAATTAATTTATAATAATTAATAATTAATT